GGCAAGAGTTCTGCAAAGGCTTAAGAGAAGGGGGTGTGAAACGAATAAAAACCATCAAAAACGAAGCAGTTATGCATGAAACACAGCTGCTCAGGATGAAACAACGCAGCACAGCGCCGTCGCGGCGAAGGCAAACAGACAGAACAGACACCTTGGGGTTACCGATGCGGTGGTGTGCTCGGGTCTTCTCCAAAGGTGTTGACTGTAAACAGAAAAAACAATACAAAGCTTTCTCATGATGCCGTTTCACCGGTATCCACGCAAAGGCTCATCATACAAACGCGCTCTCTCTCTGCTACGCGCCAGCTGCATGCAACTCAACGCGGCCCTTGCAGCAATGGCAATGGCCGTCGAGTTTCCACTGTCCTCAGGATTATTGTATAATTTTGAGCAAAAAATAAATAATAATTTAAGAAAAATGCTCGAAAAAGTATTTTCATGAAAATTTTCCTCAACAATATATGTTGAACTCAGCACAGCTCTGTCGTACCTAATCCGCTCGTGCAGGTTGCGTGTGCTATGCCACCAGGCTTTGCACACCCAAGCAAATACCAACGATCTTTACTGAAAACCCAGCATTAGTTTATACTTTAGTTTAATTAAATGAAATCCGCCATAAGCTTCTTCAGGAGGGCTACTAAGCTGCAAGCGCAGCACCCCTATAACGCTTGCTCTATGGCTTTAATCACGGACAGAAGCGAGCTGCAATGTAGGTATAGACTTAAAATAAGAGTTTCCCTGGAGCAGGTGACCTCCGTCTCCTGTCCTCAGGCGTACTGGGCGTTGAGTTCAGGCCTGGGTGTTGCGGGGGGGAGGCAGCCTGAAATAGGGTTGCGGCACACCTCTCGCTGGGGCTGGTAATACAGGCGAGCCTCAGGTGTGCGCACAACAAAGCTTCGACGAAGCTTTCTTTACTGCATGCTGTGCCTCTGAATACACTTATAGAACGTTTGTATTTGCTTACATGCAACCTACCAAGGCACAGTAACGCCTCGTGTGCTAGCTGCAGGCAGACCATGCTACACCCGTGGCCCGATGCCCCATTGGGGACCTCTGGCATTTGTAGTGGGGGATGCCTAGAGATGGAACGTATACTTCTATATGCGAAAATTCTGGGTACTAGAAGATACGTAGGCTTCTTCGGTGTGCTTAGGTTGTGTGCAGTGTTAGTGCGTGCACTCGACAGGGGGCTGCGGTGAGCTCGCATGTAGGGTTGCCTTGCAGTAGTAATTGCAACAATCTGTGTTGCAGCTCGCAGCAGGCTGCCTCCTTTCCAGGCATACAGGCATCCCCCATGCACAGCAGCAAGGGGGGTTAGGCCCTCTTGCTGCTGTGCATAGGGGATGCCTGTTGACCGAGGGGGAGGTCACCTGTTCTAGGGGGGTTCCAGATCATCAGCCCGGCGATGTTCAGCTCACGAAGTCTGCGAAAATTAACGAAATTCTTTACCTTGGTAGCGCTTTTTCCTTGGCAGATGCATGCAAGAGCCCCGAAACCCAGACCCACTGTTGCGCGGACTGGGGTATTGTGTGTACTGCTGGGGCTTCAAGGCACCCGCCCCGAAATCCCCGAAAACATCATCACCAAAGATTCAGCATTTCCCCCTAAAAAATATATTTATAAGGGTCTAGTCTCCCCTCAGAGTGAAAGCAACGGGTGAAAGCGTTGTCACACTGGAACAAGCACACGTAGCCCATCAGCGCGCAGGCATTCTCGCCGTTCATACAGAATATATCAGAGTTTGAAAGCACTCTGAATATGATGTGAGCAGTGATGGAGGGATAGATAAGGTATTTTCTGCTTCTTTGGAGGCGTGCTTCGCTGTCAAAGGTACACCCAAAGAGCTACGACAGGCAATAGAGGGGAGCACACGACAATGCTGGTTATATCTATGCACAATTGTGTAATTAATTACTGTTTAAACACAACGGTTGGGATATGAGAGTAATACGGAGTATATTTCTGTATTAACATGTAACAGTAGCGCTTCCAGGGGGATTGGTGTATTCCTCAGGATAAGGAATACCTTGCAGGTGTTTTGAACGATATACTATCATATATTATATATTTTGATATATTTACATCTGAAAATATAATTAATACTGTCTACAGCATATATTTATACTGATATTTCATTGCACAGTTCTTCATCAAAAAGAAGAAACACAGACTTGCACGGATCTATATCATGAAACGAATGAAAACATTCTTAGCCAGGGCCCATATATAAACCCTATAAATATTTTTTCTGTGAAT